AATATACTTTCCATTATACCAGATGTCTTTGATCATCACATGCCTTATTAATTTCCATTCATGCTTTAATCTTCCTTTGAATTCAAAATACTTCCTAACACAATTTCTGCATTTAATTTTGCTGTTCTTTTTTCTAGGTCTTAATCATTGCCACCCATTTCATTTTCTCATCACTTTTCTGCTTAATTAACCTACTTAATGCAGAAAAAATAAAACCAGATAATATGAGGGTACTATAAAAAGTTCATGGAAAGATTCGTACTATCTTCTAATTCTATTTTTCCACGAACTGTTTGGAGTACTCTCATAGCGAAGTTAACCTGAAATAAAGAATAATAATCTACTGGCTTATATTTTTATTTTTAAACAGAATATTTGACTATTTGAAAATGTTAAGCATTTAGCTCTTTTTTCATTATGTAGCAAATATCAGACCTAACAGACTAATAGAATTTGGAAGGTGAGTGAGTCCAATGTGAATTACTTAAAAAAGTCCAATGGCTTTGGCATACAAGGTAGGCTTAACATCCTTTCAAGCAAAATATTTTAAGCTTCAATATTTTATTGAACTCTTCAGTGAATTTATACTGCAAATCCCAAGACAAAGAAGGCGGACTGTACATAAATAGAAAATGTAAATTATTAATCAAATTTTCACTGGCATTAGACAGCTAACAGGAAAAAAAAGGAACGAATATTTGTTTCACAATTCTCGTGTCAGGAATTTTACATATTATTTTCTCATTTAAATTAATCTTAACCTGTTCGTTAAAGCACTACCAGTAATATTTAAGATACTAAATTTTAACTGCATAAAATATTCTCAATCATTAGAAAATACGTACAGCAATAATAGTTGATTCTCATTGTGTCTAAGATAATGTAGGATGGAATAATAACTTTATAAACAGGAAAATGAATTTTAGCCAAGGGCTTACAAAACTATCAATTACTTTGCTTGTTTACTAAAACATTTTGATTATACATATTTGTGGGGCACAGAGTTGAATTTCAATCAAGTATACAATATGCAATAATCAAATCAATGTAATTAGCATATTCATTATCTGCAGTTTGATGAAAAGTATTCAACTGTGTAATTATACAATATATCTATTCACCTGTAAACAGACATTTAGGTTATTTATAATTTTTGGCAAGGATGAATAAAGCTGCTATAAACTTTCAAGTACAAGTTTTTCTGTGAATAAATGTTTTTATTCTTCTCGGGTAAATACCCAGAAGTTAGAGTGGGTTATATGGTAAATTAACTTTTCCAAAGTGGTTAAACCATTTTATAATCTCAGAAGCAACTGAAGAGTGTTCCATATCCTCACCATCACTGTGTGTTTTCAATTTTGAAAACCATTGCCATTCATTAATTTGCATTTTCCTGATAATGATGTTGAACATATCTTTATGTGCTTATTGGAGATGCATATTTCTTACTTATTATCGAGTTTTATGAGTTTTATATGTTTACACAGATGAGTATCCACACACACATGCATACATATATACATTCTGGATAGAGGATCTTTGTTAGGTCTGTGTATGGCAACTATTTTCTTGTATTCTGGGGCTTATTTTTTCCATCTTTACATGAATGTCTTTTGAATGAGAGGTAGTTTTCATTTTGAAGATGTCCAAATGATTATTTTTAATATTTTTTATTAATGCTTTTTTGTATCCTATTGAAGAAATTATTGACTTCCTTCTACTCATGAAGATTTTTTATATTTTTAACTAAAATTTTTAAAGTTGTAGCTTTCATGTTTATCTATGATCCATTATAAATTAGCATTACACATGCTGTCAAGCAGGATTGACTTTCTTTTTTTCACACAGGTGTCCAGATATTATAGTACCAGTTGATGAGTAAGACCATCTTTTTATCATTCAATTATGTTGGTGGCTTTATTGAAAATCGATTGACCATACATATCTGGTCTATTTCTAGATTCTTTATTCTGCTCCACTGATGGTATGACTAACTTTCTGCCAAAACTACACTGTCTTGATTACCAAACATTTATAAGAAGTTTTGAAGTCAGATAGCACAGGTCCACCCCATTTGTTCTTCAAAACTGTTTTGATTCTTCTTGGTTCTCTGCATTACCAAATAAGTACTGGAATCAGCTAGTTAATTTCTATAAAAACAGCCTGCAGAGATTTTCAGGGGATTATATTATAAATCAATTTGGGGAAAATGGACATCTTGATAACATTTAGTCTTCCAATAAATGGGCCTTTATTTAAATCCTTTTTTTTACATTTTTTGTTACTGAAACATAATTGATTATACATATTTGAATATCAAATCTGTGTACAATATGTACAATATGATCAAATCAGGATAATTGGTATGCTCATGTTTACAAAACGTAATCAATCTTTGTGACCATTAACTAATTTCTTGCTACTCAGCATACTTGGTAGTTTTCATATTAGAAGACATGCAAATATTTTGTTAAAATTGTTCCTAAGTATTTTATGATTTTGTAAGTTACTGTAAATTTTTTTCCAGTCTTTCATTTCAAGTATATATATAAATACACTTGACTTTTGTAAATTGACTTTATATTCTGGGGCCTTGGAAATCCAGTTATAAATTGTAGCAATTTTTTGTGAGATTTCTTAGAATTTTCTTTATACTAAGTTATATCATCTGTGAAAAGAGACAGTTTTATTCTTTCCTTTCTTTGTAGTGGTTATGACCTTTGGTACAATATTAAATAGAAGTGTTGAGTGGACAACCTTGCCTTGCTTTCAGTCTTAAAAAGAAAACATTCAGTTTTCTCCATGAAGTATGTTAGCTGTAGTTTTGTTGGGGTTTTCTTTGTTTTTTGGGTAGATACCCTTTCAGAGATTAAGATGCTATCCTTAGGAATTCAATAAGAATTTTTGGCTGACAGGATTTTTTCCTTTTCTTTCCAGACATTAGAAATATTGCTTCATTGTCTTTTGGGCTTACTGTTTTGCTGATATGAAGTCAGTCACCAATCTTAACATTGCCTATGTAATGTATTTCTTTTCTCTGGCTGATTCACAAATTTTTTTCTTTATCTTTGGTTTTCAGCAACTTTCCTATAATGTGCCTACATTTATATTTATTGTTTTTTTATCAAATTTGAAGAATTTTCTTCTATTATGTCTTCAAATAATTTCTCTTATTCATTCTCACTCTCTTCTTCTGAGACTCCAATTACAAATAGATTAATCTGCTAAATCCAACATGTAAACTACCTCAGAGTCAATTTCTGTAGATTACTTTTCCTTGATTACAGGTCACATTTTCATGTTTCTTTGTCTGACTAATTTTTATTAGGTTCTAGACACTGTGGATGATATATTGTAGAGAACTGGGATTCTGTTATTTTCTTCTGAAGAGTGCTTACTCTTGCTTAAGGAGGTAGTTCAATGACTGGCTCATCACCCATCACTTATCCTTGGGTAATTTTGCATTTATTCTTTGCTAGGGAGGCTCTATTGAAAGCCCAAGATAATTCTCAAGTTCCTACAAATTTGTGGGACTCAACCTCTGAACTCTGTCTCCCCTAAGCATTTTGCTGGGGCTAGGTTTCAGACTCTGTTAGAACGGGTCAAGAAAAGGCATTTTTCTGGTTCATGGTCCTCACTATGAGGTGCAGCCTTTCTATTTTCTCAGGTAACTGCTAGGAGTGATGACAAGGTGTCACAAGATTATTCTCCTCTTGTGGTCTGAGTATGCTCACTTCCTAGTACCTTTTTAAAATCTAAACTTGATAGCAGCAGCACTCCAGTCAATTTAGGGCCGTTTCTATCTGTATATATTAGAGTACTTCAAAACGTTTGTAGAAAAAATTGAATTGAAAGATAATACAAATCTTTCCATAAACCTTTTGAAGTGCCCTTATATTCAGACCAGCCCTTGCCAAGTTCTCACAGATGGTCTGCACATGTACTACCTGGCTCCTCTCCATGCATACGGCTCTCATCTCTGGTGTCCTCAGCAGGATCACTGTTCCCTACCTAGATTCCCCCTTGCTCCAGGCAAGAAATTGTCTCCAGGCAAAAAGCTGGGTTTACTGTGGGGCTTGCCTAATAAATTTTTCTTCTTTCAGGGATTGCAGTCTGCACTGCTCATTCTCCAATGACTGAAAGCAGTTGACTCATAGATATTTTCCAGTTTTATGGTTGTTTATTGCAGAAGTCCAGTATCATAGCTAGAAGTAGAAGTCCAGTTGTATACTTTTTGCATCTTTATGAATTATTTATAATTATGATTGTTTTAATATAATTCATTAAGAAAAAGCTATCATGAATCCAAATTCATGATATTTTATCATTTCATAAAATGATGTTTAAATATGTAACTGTGCTTTCTTTGATATGAAATGCCAACAATTGATTAAAATTAAATTGTTAATGCAAAATGAATTATCATTCCTTTTAACTATTCTAAGCAGGACAAATGTATAAAGATAATTACTAATACAAAGCATATTGTTGCTTATTATATCACATTCTTATATTTACATTTTATATTCAATGCTGTATTACAAATGTTTGTGACTAGTACATTCGTAATGCAGCTCATAGTTAATTAGCTAGAGACTTAACTAAAACTGCTTTCTCAGATAGAATTAGAAAGTTTGTCGGTTGCTGAGTTTAACATATTAGGTTATTTTATGTAGTGATGACTGAAAAATATACACTGTAGGTTTGAAGCTCCACCAAAATTCACCAAAGTTTTAACTTTTCATTGGTGGCTATGCCTTTGACATCAAAAATTAAGGATGGATATTTTTAAATTAACTAACTAAATGTTTCATCAATATGACATCTAATATTGGCTGTTCAGAAATTAGTTATTATGAATTAAAGGAGATGGCTAACATTATGCCAAAAATTTCTTGGAACACAAAATCTGGAATAAAGTCATTATATCAAGGGATTAATGGGATTAATAGCATGGTCCTCAAATTAGAAATGTCATTTAATTGGCTTTGAAAATTTACCTTGTTATAAGTATAGCTGCATCCACTGAAGTCACGTCTTCTCCCCAGCTTGTTGACATCTCTAAATGTATATCATTCTTTTTGCCAAATTCTTCATGTTGCCACTTACAAAAACTCTCTAGCATTTTCTCTCCATGGTGCCCAATATATAGATCTACCTGCAAAAGAAGATATTTCACTTCAAGGCAAATTATTCATAGGTATATAAAAAACTAAAAACTGAGGGAACTTCTTGAATTACTAAAGCAGACTTCTGACTATAACATTAATTAGAACCTGGAAGATATTCAGGATTAATTTAGCCTGAGCTAAAACTCTTAAAACTTTGTGAAGATGCAGTAATTACAAAATCTGTTTAATGCTATTCTGAAAAAGGAAAAAGGTGCAGTGACACATTAAGAATGTGCAACTTTTAGATTTAAGTAAGTCATTATTTCTACAATTTAAGAACAAAGTTTTTCTAAAGTGCCAGTTAAGCAGCATGCCAAAATGATGCCACAGAATACTCTCCATTTAAAATGAATTACAGATGAGAAAAAGATTCAAAAGCTCACGTTTAAATAAAAGAATAAAAGTGTTGTTGAAAATGACTTTTTAAAATCACACTTTGGAAAGTTAGGGTTTGTTGTCAGGATCCCTGGAAACTAAGAACATTTCATTTTTTGAATAAAATTGAGGTATTAATCTAAACTAAAGGCCAGTCTTATGTATACTTTAAGTGACTCGGTAGATATTTCTAGATTTTTTAAGTCAATAAAATTACATCCCTAACATTCCCTTTGCCTAAAAGTTCCTGAACACAATTTCTCACCCACTTAATTGAATAAAAAAACTCAAGACTTTCTTACTGGAGTTTCATGGAGCAGAATAAGCTTTATCACACGAAGATTGACCTGCACACCAAGACTCTTGTGTTGGAAAAGGTTAAAAACCTAAAAACAAATAAAAATAAAAATCCTAAAATAAAACTGAAAAAAAATCTTAATTTTACTTAAAGTCCAGACATGGGAAAAGTCTCAATTTAGTTTAGAAATCTTACTAAAACAACAAAGCCATAAATCATGGTAATTTTTTAATGTGCTACCTAGACTTTTTTTAAAAACTTAACATTTATTTAATTTGTGTTAGAAAATACTTAACTGGCACACCAAATCCATGCTTTCAGGTCTCCTCCACTACTTAGAGGAGACCTGAGTTGTTAGGCTGTGTTAGTCCACCCTTTGCTGAATACTAGTGCAGTGCTCAGGAGGTAGCTGAATATGGACAGAAATGTCTGAAGTATGAAAAATTTTGTCCACTGGAAGAAAAGCCAGATGACAGCAAATACAGTAAAAATGGGAGTATTTTTATCCTTGAATCAGTGGTTCTTACCATGCTTATTTTGGTAACTGGAATTATAAATGGACATTTGCTTTTGGCTTTTATTTCTGTTTATCCTTTCCTAAGAACCACACTTCACGACAACCTTCTAATTCTTCCTCGAAGGAGGTTTATTCAACAAAGTATGCAATTATGCCAAAGGATTAATGTGGTAGAAAGCATCCCTAAGATACAAACTAGATATCTGCAGGCCAGAAACTGTCAACCTAAGTTAGCTACCTGTGATTCAGATGATTCAGATGGTTAAAATTTAGCTATTTGCTATTAGGTTTTACGCATCAAGTAGAATCATAATTGACATTCGATTTTATATACCTATATAAGAGTGGATTATAAACATCCATTTTTACACCACCTTGTAATTAATCTATAGTGCTTTGGTGGGGCCATGCATATAAACAAATATAACATTTCTGCTAATTTCAACAAATAGCCCTTTAAAAAAGAAAAGGAAAAGAAGGACACCAAAAAAAAAAAAAAAGAGACAGAGAAAGAGAAGAATAATAGAGAAAAAGTTGTGCCATGCCACATGAAAATTAACAATAAGGGTATATTTTTTTAAATTAGAAGACGTAAATCAGTTCCTTTGCCCATTTTTTAATTGTGTTATTTGATTTTTACTATATAATTGCTTGAGTTCCTTGTATATCACATCTTAGGCATGAGTACTGACAATCTGCTTTGTACCCCATGAATATTCATAACCTATAAATAAATAAATAAATAATTTTTTAAAAGATGTAAACCATTATTTCGATATTGCTTTTGAGTTGGATCAATTTGGCATACCTAAATTATTTTCTACTGATGTCAATAAAAGAAAGAAATAGTAATGAGTTGATTTTAGAAAACTTCATTATAAATACTCACACATTTCTTCCTTAGAGTTTTCTTGAAAAAATTCCAAGCGCACTTTAAAGTTTGCCTACCATATTTAAGATGGTTAGAATGAATCTCCTGGCTGCATCTGCTCCATGATAGGAAACCATTGCTGGGTCTGCAACCACTACAGTCTCTATGTTGTATTCTTGAGGTAATTTGTATGAATATCGTTTCCCTCTTCCACTTTCTGTTATTTTTTTAGACCTAGATCTTCCTTTATCTGCAACAGAAAATTGAATTTTTAAATGTACCTCTATCTCACGAAAGTGAATAATATTACTCATTCATAATAGTGAGCAAAACGAAATATGTTCCCTGCACACATGGAATCTCAAAGGGCATTTGGCTTTGGGCTGACTTTGGACTCCAACAGACTGGACTTCTGTCCATTATTAGCTCTGCCACTTTAAGAAATTAACATCACCCAGTCAACCTCAGTTTTCTCATCTGTAAAATGGATAATACCTATTTTCTAGAGTTGTTGATGGCTTATAATAAGATCACGTTAATAAAATTTCTAGCACAGGGATCCATATAAACAAAATACTTCAATAAATAAAAGATATGATTTCAGTTTTGACACCAATGACAAAATAAAGGTCTACTTGCAAGAAGTGCCTGAAAGTGACTGACCCACACATCTTAATTTCAAGCAGGTGCACCCGATTACTAAATTATTATGCATGGATTACAAAGGATTTGGCTCTACCTTCCATCAGAAGCACATAAAAGTTATAACCTTAGTATAATAAAGATTCCTCAAACAGAGCCCAATAAAAGCAGAAATCACTAAAAGAAAAAAAAATTATGTTTGACTACATACAAATTAAGAACTTCTGTTTATCAAGATATTCCACCATCAAAACATGCCACCAAGTAGGAGAAAATATTTGCAATACTTTCCCAGAATAAAGAAATAAAGAGCTACTCTAAATCAATGACAGACAACCCAATCAAAAAATGGGCAAAGAACTTGAACAGCCATTTCTCCCAAAAGAATATCTAAAAGGCTAATAAATTTATGAAAAGGTGCTCCATGTCATTAGTCTTCAGGGAAATACAAACTAAAACCACAATGAATTAAATGGATTAAAATCCCTAGAATGGCTAAAATTAAAGAGACTGACTGTATCAAGTGTTGACAAGAAGGTAGGGATAACTGAAAGGCCCATACACAGACATGCTGGGAGTTTAAATTGGGATAAATGCTTTGAAAAACTGACTTCAGTGTCTATGAAAGTCAAACATTGGCATATCTGATGATCAATGATCTGAAATGTACACCCATCAGAAATGCAAGCAAACTACGTGTACAAGTTATTCAGAGAAGCACTATTCTTGATTGTTCAAATGACCATGAGTAGTATAATGGATAAAGAAACTTTGGTCTATTTTTATCATGGAATACTATATAGCAATAAAAAGAAACTGACTGGCATAACATGCAAAAATATAGATGAACCTCACAAACAAAGCTGAGCAAAAGAAGCTAATTACAAAAAAGTAAGTAGTGAGATTCCATTAATAAACACATCAAAAACTGGGAGGACATGGTGTTAGGAATGAGGATAGTGAATATCTTGAGGTAGGAGAAATGAGTGCCTATGACTGGGCAAAAGGCGGGTGTCTGTGGTGCTGATATTTTCTATATTCTGATTTGGGTGGTAGATCATGGTTCTGTTCATTTCGGGAAATGTCTGCAGTTGGATACATTATTTATGCAACTTCCTGTATGAATGTGGTGCTTCAATAATGAATTTATTATTTTAAGAGCTTTATTGAGGTGCAATTTACATGTCATAACATGCAGTCATTTAAGTAGACAAATCAATCAGTTTTAATAAATTTCTACAGTTGTGCAACCATCTTCACAATCCTTTGTTAAATCAGCTGTCACTTGTTCCTCTCCTTGCCATTTACAAAATTCTGTTGATGTGTCTAAACTGCTATCATCTTTTTTCCCAAAGTTTTAATAAATTTCTACAGTTGTGCAACCATCTTCACAATCCTTTGTTAAATCAGCTGTCAATTGTTCCTCTCCTTGCCATTTACAAAATTCTGTTGATGTGTCTAAACTGCTATCATCTTTTTTCCCAAGCTTGTACTTGTTGACGGACACCCTTTGTATTTCTTTACTATAATGTCAGTGGAGTCCCTGGAAGTGTGAAGAGAAACGTGTGTTCAATTAATCATGTTTCCTTGGAGCTCTCTATTGTTGTTTTGAACTCAGGGATGTGTATTCTCACAGTTCTGGTCCACCTTCTTGGTTTCTAATAAATTTCTTTCCTTGAGTCTTGTTCCAGGTACCTTGGCTTTACCTTACTAATTGAATTCTATTTTATTCTGTTTACCAACCAGCTATTCTACTTTTCTTTGTCCTCTAATATCTTTGCATGGTTACAGGATTAATTTATCTCTTGGATCCTTGACCTACTGGTTTCCTTCTCTTACTGACTTCTAGGCCCAACTGAGTCAGCTCTCAGATGTAACATGAATTGGATCCCAGAACCATTGCTGGAAACGTCCCTGATCTCAGCTATCTTCATAATTTACTTTCTCATTTTTTTCTAGCAATGACAGATTAAACAGATTAAAAATCTATTTAGCGAACCAAGTTTTATCCAAATATCATGTAGAGTCAATTAACTATGTTAACTGAAGTGTTATAAAAATAAATGCAAACATTCCTTGTTTATTGACAATAAGTATTATATCATGAAACAAGACAATGCAAGATGAAAAAACAATAGTAGCCATCTGCAACAGAATCATTACAGTTAAAAGTAAACTTTATGGATCCAGATTTAGCACCAGCAGCTAATATCAAAAACCTTGAAGAAGGACAAAATAAGAAGTTGGTTTTATTAGTATCTTAAGATCTAGTACACTTAGGATTTAATTGTGCAGCTTTTCTAATTGCAATATACATTCTACCTACAGTTATATATTAGTACCTTGTGATATTAATTTATGATAAATATTCAGTAGGGAACATTTCAACAAGTTTATGAAGAGACTCATTTTGGCAGAGTCAGCACTTAATAAAGTGATCATAAGATAAGATAGATAAATATAGACAGATAATAGATACAGAGTTCTATTATTTCCATCTAGGAAGATGACAGGGAGATTTCATTGGCCTTGAAAGAAAATGAGATACTCTGAGTACTATCCAGCACACATCGGTCAAGTACAACAAGGGACAGCTTTTTACCAGTGTCAACTTCTACCAAGGAAATAAGATTAATACAGATGCATCCAATCACTAAA